AGTTCATCACCACAAAACCATTACATGATATGTTAAGGGTCATATTTAAAGAAAAGGAGATCAAAACTATGAAAAATAAAATAGCAGAAAACACATATCTGTCAACAATTGAATCTAAAAAAGAAACTAAGCAAACAAGAAAAACACAGAGAGAATCATGGACACAGAGAACATTTTTTGATGGTTGTCAGATCAGAGGCAGGAAGGAGAGAATAGGTGAAGAGGTGAGGGGATTAAGAAGTACAAATATGTAGTTACAGACTAGCCATGGGGATGTAAAGTATAGTATAAGAAATGGCATAGCCAAATAACTTATATGTATGACCCATGGACATGGACAATAGTGAGGGGATTGCCTGAGGGAGTAGGGGGTGCTGGGTGTAAAGGGGGCAAAGACAGAAAAATCAGGACAACAGTAACAGCATAATCAATAAAATATAATTTTTAAAAAATTGAATTCATTATTAAATACCTCCCCAGAAAGAAAACTCCAGGTCCAAATGGTTTTATTGGTTAATTCTATCAACTATTAAAAGAAGTAATATAGAATTTTTCAAATTTGATACAGAAATATAAGTTATGAGATGGGAGTTATCTTTCAAAAACATTGGTAAGTAAAAAAATTAATGTACAAAAGGATGAGTAATACTTTCTTATTAATATAATAAATAAGTGATATGTATAGGTTAATTTCAATGCGCAGACTATCTCTGCAAGGATACCACATTATCTTAAAGGGAGGAAATTGAAGGGCTTAAATTTAGGAGTAGGAGAAAGATGCATTTTTTTCACTTTGCCTCTTTTTGTATTGTTTTATTTTTAAAATATGAACTGTGATGATATTTTTTAAAAGTTTAAAGACTTGTAGCTTAGGCTTTGCTGGACTTATAATCTGAGTCTTGTCACTCAGCTCTGTGAACTGGATACTAAAGAAAAAACTGTAGGAAGTGATGGTTAAAATCTTCAGGCCTAGGGGGCAAGGTCATTCAACCCACACTGGGCCACCAACTGGTTGTGTGATTTTAGGAAAATATCTCTGCCTCTCTGGGCCTCTGCCGATAACATCTGTGAATGGCAGGTGAATTTTGTCCTCCTCCTGGGGGGTAACTTCTAAACCCTTGGAATACCCTGATTGATAAGAGTGTTTTGGTTTACGTGGTAGCCTTGGTCTGTGCAGTGTCAGCTTGCACTCTGGAGGGGTTTGAGACTAAGTTCAGTCATATGGGAAGGCGGGGAGGTCAGCTATGCCTATGTAACTGACCCCTAATAAAAAGCCCAGACACCAAAGCTCATGTTAGCATCACTAGCTGCAGTAGTCTTTGCATGTTGTCACACATTGCTGCTGAGAGGACTGGGTACTAGTCATTTGATTCTACTGGGAAAGGCCAACTAGACTCTTGTGCATGGCATCTCTTGGACCCTATGCTCCTCTTCCCTTTGAGATCTTCAATCTGTATCCATTCAGTGTAATAAACCATAACTGTGATTAAAAACTTCACTGAGTTCTGTGAGTCCCTCTAGTGAATCACTGAACCTGAGGTGGTTTTTTGGATTCCCAGACACAAGGGTGATTAATGGTATACACCTTAGCAGGGCACAGGCACCAATGAGATTATGCATACACAGCATGTACTGATCACAGCCAGTACTTATTGAGTTCATACTATGTACCATTCTGTGTCCATGAACTCAACTTATTCCTTGTGACAACTCTATGAAACCGATAATTTTTATGTCCATTCCCCACCCATAATTAATTTTTTACTTTTTATTGTGAAATGTATTATATATTCAGGAGTACATAATATAGATGTATGGCTTTAAAAAAACACTTACATGGACAGCTGTGTATCATCATCAGCTTAAGAATAAAGGAAAACCCTGACTGGTGTAGCCCAGTGGGTTGGTGTCATCCCAAAAAACCAACAGTTGTCAATTCAATTCAAGTCAGGGCACATACCTGGGTTGCAGGCCTGGTCCCCAGTTGGGTGTGAGAGGCAACTGATCCATCTCACATCTATGTTTCTCTCCCTCTCTTATTCCCTCCCTTCCCTTCTCTAAAAAATAAATAAATAAATAAAAATTTTTAAAAAAGAATAAAGGACATAAAAGGTCCCATGAGCCCAGTGACAACTCCTCCCTCCTTCTGAGGTAATGATTTTCCTGGCTTGTCTTTTCTTTATAGTTTGACCACCCATGTACGTATCCCAACACTTTATTGATTCCTTTTTTTAAATATATATTTTATTGATTATGCTATTACAGTTGTCCCAAATTTTTTCTCCCCTTTATTGCTCTCCACCCTGCACCACCACTCCCCCAGCATTTCCGCCCCCCACCTTAGTTCACGTCCATGGGTTGTACATGTAAGTTCTTTGGCTTCTCCATTTATGATAGTATTCTTAAACTCCCCCTGTCTATTTTATACCTACTATGCTGCTTACTCCCTGTACCTTTTCCCCCCATTCTCTCCCCTCCCCCTCCCCCTCCCCTCTGTTTTACTGTTCATAGTTTTTTATCTTCTTTTTCTTAGATAAGTCACTTTAACATTTCATATAATAAGGGCTTGGTGATAATGAACTCCTTTAACTGGACCTTATCTGGGAAGCACTTGATCTGCCCTTCCATTCTAAATGATAGCTTTACTGGATAGAGTAATCTTGGATGTAGGTGCTTGGTCTTCATGACTTTGAAAACTTGCAGGCCCTTTCTTGCCCGCAAGGTTTCTTTTGAGAAATCAGCTGATAGTCTTACGGGCACTCCTTTGTAGGTAACTGTCTCCTTTTCTCTTGCTGCTTTTAAGATTCTCTCCTTATCTTTAATCTTGGGTAATGTAGTTATGATGTGCCTTGGTGTGTGCTTCCTTGGGTCCAGCTTCTCTGGGACTTTCTGAGCTTCCTGGATCCCCTGGAAGCCTATCTCCTTGGCCAGATTAGGGAAGTTCTCCTTCATTATATGTTCAAATAAGTTTTCAATTTCTTGCTCTTCCTCTTCTCCTTCTGGAACCCCTATGATTCAGAGGTTGGAACATTTAGTTGTCCCAGAAGTTCCTAAGACTCTCATTTTTTTGAATTCTTGTTTCTTCATTCTGTTCTGGCTGAATGTTTGTCTCTTCTTTCTGCTGTGAATCATTTATTTGAGGCCTGGTTTCCTTCCTTTTACTGTTGGTTCCCTGTACATTTACATTTATTTCACTTTATGTAGCCTTCACTTTTTCCTCCATTTTGCAATCATACTCAACCAATTCAGTGAGCATCCAGATCACCAGTTTCTTGAACTGTGCATCTGATAGGTTAGCTATCTGTTCATCACTTAGTTCTATTTTTGGAGCTTTGATCTGTTCTTTCATTTGGGCCATATTTCTTTGAGTCAGTGCGCCTGATATGTTGGGAAGGGCAGAGCCTTAGGTATTCACCAGGGCCGGGCAACCCAGGTCTCTGAGTTGTGATGCTGTGTGTGGGGGAGGGGTCCGAAAGGGAACAATGCCACGTGCTGGGCTTTTGGCTGGCTTTCAGTCACTTCCCCCACTACCCACAAGCAAATTGGGCCCTTCTGGTGCTGATTTCTGAGTGGGTGGGTTTGTGTACCCACTCTGTGGGTGTCTCCAATGGACTCTCCTGTGAGGCTGGGAGTTTCTTCTGCCACTGCAACCCCCATAGGTTTTTACCTCCAGAGGTTTTGAAACTTTCTTTTCCAGCACTGTAACCTTGGATTGTGCACTCTGTTTTGCTCCCCAGCTGTTCCTCCAGTTTATCTGCATGCAAATGTGGGACTGCCCTGTCTGCCAGCCACCGCCTCCCCTTCCTGGTCCTCCATCTGCCACCTTGTTGCACATCCTCTCCACACCAGCTGCCCATCTCTGTCCCTCCTCCTGGTCTGGATGAATCTTCTTTAATTTCTTGTTTGTTGGACTCCCATACAGTTCGATTTTCTGGCAGTTCTGGTTATTTTGTATTTCTAAATTTGCTGTTGTCCTTTTGGTTGTGTGAGGTGTCTTTTGGGGTCTTTTGGTATACCTCCATCTTGGCCAGAAATCTGAAGTATTGCTTCCTTTTATTTTTCCTGCTTTGAAGTTTTTTAAAAAGATTTTATTGATTTACTTTTTAGAGAGGGGAAGGGAAGGAGAAATAGAAAGAGAGAAACATTAATGTGCAAGAGATACATTGACTGGCTGCCTCTCACATGCCACCAACCAGGGACCTGGTCTGCAACGCATGCATGTGCCCTGACTGGGGATCAAACCAGTGACCTTTAGGTTTCCAGGCTGGCACTCAATCCACTGAACCACACCACCCTGGACTGCTTTCAAGTTCATTGAATGGACTAATACAGCACATGGTCTTTGGTGTCTGGCTTCTTACACTTAACATTATATGTGTGCAATCTATACACATAATTGTGTGTATCAGTAGTTTGTTCTTTTTATTGCTGTATAGTATTCCATTATGTAAACATACCACAATGCATTTATCCATCCTGTAGTTGATGGAAAGTTGGGTGATTCCCAGTCAGACCTATTGAAAACAGCGCTGCTATGAACATTCCTTTCTGTATATATTTCCTGATGCCCATATTCAGGTTCTCTAGGATAAATACTTAGCATGAAACAGCTGGGTTACAGGTTATATGCATTTTCAAATTCCTTCAATAACACTGCGTTCTTTCCCATTTTGAGATGAAGCAATTTCAACAAGAGAGGTCAAGTAACTTTCCTAAGATCACAAAACCAAACTTCCTTGAATCCAAAGATCCTTGCTCTCAGAGCCAAGCTCTCACTTAGCACCCAGTGGCAAATATGGACACTGAATAATTGTGAGCTGTCATACTGAGGGTAGTGGGGGGCTATTATTCAGGGTTTCCTTTCCTGTCCCAGTTATGCTGAACTCTGTCCCCATTAGTTAATCATTAACTGCCCCCCAAGAAGTCTGTGATCCTAAAGATTTATTTGCCTTTTCCTGCCTACTGCCTGGTTAATCAGTCACTGCCCCTGTCTGGTAGCGCTGCAGCCTCCAAAGCCCCTTTATCTCGTGTGAAAGTGGTGAGGGATTCATGATGCTCCGGACTTGTCGAGTGCTCCGTTCCCAGGCTGGTACCCCAACTGGTGGCTGGCAGCCCCTGAGTTTTGATGGCGGGGCCTTCCACCTCAAGGGCACAGGAGAACTGATGAGGGCATTGCTGGTGCTGCGACTGTGTGCCTGGCCACCTCTGGTCACTCATGGCCTGGCGGTGAGCAGTGACCTTGGGGACTGGCCTAGGGTCTTTCCAAGTTCTGGCTCTGAGCCCTCACTCCTTGTTGTCCCAGCTCCAGGCCTGGACTCAGCGACTCCTGGGCTCCCGGCTCTCAGGTGCACTTCTCCGAGCATCCATCTATGGGCAGTTTGTGGCTGGTGAAACGGCAGAAGAGGTAAGGGGCTGTGTCCAACAGCTCCAGACCCTAAGCCTCCGGCCCCTGCTGGCAGTGCCCACAGAGGAGGAGCCAGACTCAGCTGTCAAGACTGGGTGAGTAAGCACAACCACCTCATGGGCTACCACAGTCCATATGTGCCTAGTCCGTGGTTTGTCATGGGAGGTTATATTAAAAATAAAATTTTAAAAAGAAAAAAAGAAAAAGAAAGACTGGATGAATAGGGGGCCAGGGCCCAGGGAGGCTGAGAGGCTGGTGGAAGGGGGTTAGTGGGCTTCAGGACCTGATACCTGCTGACTGGGCAGTGAGGCCTGGTATGAGGGGAACCTCAAAGCTATGCTGCGGTGTGTGGACCTGTCACGAAGCCTCCTGGAGACCCCGGCCCCAACTGGGAACATCCTCATGCAATTGAAGGTGACTGCGCTGACCAGCACTTGGCTCTGTGTAAGAGAAAAGCAGGATGTGGGAGGAAGGTGTGGCTGGCTGCCCACAATGTCCCCCTCACCACCCCACCCACCACCCTATTCCAGAAGGTACTAACTTCATGGATTGGAAGGCCAGGAGCTTCCTTGGAGCTGAGCCCTGAGAGGCTGGCAGAAGCCATGGACTCTGGGCAAGTAAGAATCTCAGGCTGGGGGAGAAATTGTTGGTGGGGCATGTTGGGGGAACAGAGTCCCTGCACTTGGACATAGCAGACACCTGCAAGTGGTTTGTTCAAGCTATTTAACTAACACTACTTTCCAGGCTCAGAACAATCAGAATAAATGTGGCTAAAGTTGGAATGAATGGAATATAGGTCATTGGGGGTTCTAGTGGAGGGGCCTAGGGGCTTGGAGCTCTGAGGAGTGATTGAGACAGCAGCTCTTATCAAGTAGATGAAGGTATATCAATATTTTTTCAATCTGCTTAGCTATGCTAGTGTGTGCTGGAAGTTTTGATTAGACCAATGGGGGTTGATTGAATCATTCATTGACCCATCCATCCACTTCTTCATTCTTTTTGATTTTCATCTCCTATTTCTACCTTGCCTGCCCTTGGCACCCACTCTGTCCTGTATAGTCTATATTTTTGTTATTGTGATTTTGTTGTGCCAAGTATGTATTGTTTGAGGGTGTATTTTTTTCTGACACTTCATTATGAAAATCTTCAAACATATATAAAAGTTGCACCTGCAACATATATACACTTGCCATTGTTAACATTTAACTATACTTGCTTTAAATCATCCGTCTCTCTATCCATTGCCCTGTCCATCCATCAGTTCATCTTATTTTTTGATGCATTTCAAAGTAAGTTGCTCACATCAGCACACTTCCCCCAAAATGCATCAGACAGCATATCACTAATTAGAGCTCAATAATTATTTACAGTACTTTGTTTCTCTTCAGGTAAAATTTTCATGTAATGAATAATGCACAAATTGTAAATGTATGCTTTTTAAAAAAAATTTTGTATCCTCACCTGAGGACATTTTTTCATTGCTTTTAGAGAGAGAGGAAGGGGGTGGGGAGAGAGAGAAACATCTACTGGTTGCCTCCCATACTCCCCAACCAGGGCTCCCCAACCAGAGCTCAAACATGCAACCTAGACATGTGCACTGACCAGAGATTGAACCTACAACATTTTGGTTCATGGGACAATGCTCCAAACAACTCAGCCACACCAGCAAGGCCTGTAAATGTTCCCTTTGATGAGCTTGTACAAATACACAAACCTGAACAATTCAAATCCCTATCAAGATATAGAACATTTCTATCATTGCAAAAGCTCCCTTGTGTCCTTCTCCATCAATCTGGGGGATATGTTTTAAGATGTACATACATAGTGTTATGTTATCTATCTTGTTCTGTTACACACTTTTTCTCCTGAGCACTAGGACTTTAAGGTCCATCAAGTGTCTTTGTGAATATCTAATCCATTACATGCAATTGCTGTTTCTAGTGGTGTGGTTCATCTTTCCTGGGATGGACACCTGGTGGCCTCCAAGTCACCACCACCCCAAACAATGCTGCAGGGCTGAGTTAGAGATAGTTACAATTTCCTTGTTAAAAATGTATTAATCCCCTAAATGTTTTTGGCCATCTACCATGTTCTAGGTGCTGTGCTAGGGGTGAAGGAGTGATGACGAAGACAAACAGACTCCCTGCTCTGAAAGCACTCACTTACTATCAGGGAGGGTGTAAGAGACACTTAATGATGAAAACCAAAGCCAATATGGTCCAAGTTAAGTGTAAATAAGTATTGTAGGGGGAAGTAAGGCTGAGGAAGGGGCAAGGAAAGCCCGAGATAGGGAGTTGCACACTTAAACGAGGGAAAGCCTCCTTAAGAGGAGGATATTGGAACAAAGATATGGAGGAGAGGTAAGTGGACCTCTGCAGGAAGAGTATCCCAGGCAGAAGAGACACCTAGAGCAAAGGCTCTGAGGTCAGAAGGTCCCTGGCATGTTTAATAGCAGGGAGGCCAGTGTGACTGGAGGGCAGAGAGCAAGGTGGGTAGTGAAAGGTGGTGAGACCAGAGGGGCCAGATGGGGTTGAGCTTAGAAGGCTACAATGAGGCCTTGGTATTTGTTGAGGAAGTCGAGGTCCTGAATCTAATAGGAGGAAAACAAGGCATATATTATGAGTTAGCCACTGCTCTAAGCATTTTCTACAAGCCAATTCCAAGTCACTTCTCTGTCTAAGCTTCAGTTTCCTTACTGGAAAGTGGAGCTTGGAATAATGCCTGCCTACTGGAATCATTATGGAAAGTAAATAAACACGATAGTATATGCAGTCACCTATTATTATAATAATGACAACATGTATTGAGTGCTTATTATGTGCTTGCACTGTCCTGTTCTTATGTCCAGGCACATCTCACTTGTTAACCCATTTTTATCCACATAACTCCATGAGGAAGCTACTATTGTCATTTCCATTTCACAGAGGAGAAAACTGAGGCCAAGAGAGAGGTTGTATGACTTGCTCAATGCCACAAAATAGGTGGCAGAACCAGGAATTAAACTCAGATTCTGGGCTCTTAACCATTGTATTACACTTCAATAAATTGGATATATGTGATATAGCAACATTTCAGATTTCTAACAATTTCTGATCTCTTTTCCCTTCCTGTGGTGGTGGAGAGGAGACTTAGGCCCTGGAAGAAAGTCCTGAGCTGCTCTCACCTTCCTTGCTGCCCTCCTCCAGGACGTCCAGGTCTCCTGCCTCAGCACTGAGCAAAATAGGCATCTCCAGGCCTCTCTGAGCCGCTTGCAGCGGGTAGTACAGGTAATGCCTCCTGCCACAGCCTGGCTCTGCTGTGCCTGCTGGGCACCCCGGGAGCTCTGACCACAGTCTCTCTTGCTCTTAGCATGCCCGGGCCCAACATGTGAGGCTCCTGGTGGATGCTGAGTACACCTCACTGAACCCTGCTCTCTCTCTGCTGGTGGCTGCCTTGGCCTTGCGCTGGAACAGCTCCAGAGAGGGTGGGCCCTGGGTGTGGAACACTTACCAGGCCTATCTGAAGGTGCGTGATGCGTTCCTGGGCTATTCAGGCTGGGGGTCCAGCATCCTCATCTGAAGCAGTCTGTGTGCTTTGCCAGGACACGCATGAGCGGCTGAGGCGGGATGCTGAAGCTGCAGGCAGGGCTGGCCTGGCCTTTGGAGTGAAGTTGGTACGAGGGGCGTATCTGGACAAGGAGAGAGAGATGGCTCGGCTCCAAGGAATCAAAGATCCCACTCAGCCTGACTATGAGGCTACCAGTCAGAGGTAGGAGTGAGCCAGGCTAACCTCTGAAACAAGTAATAATAGCATCTAACTTTTAGAGCTCACTACTCATGATGCTGAGCATCCTGTACGTGTCTAGACATTACCCCCTCTTCGTGGTCCAGGACACTACCACATTCCACTGAATAGCGGCCTTCTCTTTGGGCTTCTTGCTCTCTCCTTTGACTCCCCCTTCCATGTCTGTTCCTCACATGCAGCCAGAGGGAGCTCTGTTTACACCCAACTCAAATCATGTCCCGCCTCATTCAAAATCCTTCCATGGATGAGGAAAGGGAAAGAAAGTAGGAACAACTGTAACAACACAAACAATAAAAATAAAATGTTTTAAAAAACCACATGATTAAAAAAAAATATCTTTCCATGGATCCCATTACACCCTCAGTAAACCCCAAGTCCTTGCAGCAGCCCACAAGACCCCACATCATCTGGTCATCGCCACCTCTGTAACTTTTCCTTCCACTTTCCCCTCACTCTCTGCACTCCTTGTTGATCCCCAGGGAGATCTACACTGCCTGTCACACTGCCTAGAATGTTCTTCCTCCAGACAGCCGCATGGCTCAGTCCCTCACCTCCTTAGGTCTTTGTGTATTGGTAACTCCTCAGGGGGCCTTTCCTGACTTCCCTAACAAAAACTAGAATATCTCCTCACCCACTCTCTTCCTGGGTTTATTTTTCTCTCTGGCACCTATCAGTAGTTGAGGTTCTATATAGTTTCATATTAAATTGCTCATTGTTTGTATCCTCCACTAGTGTGTGGGCCTAGGAGGGCAGAGGGTTCTGATCTCTTCACTGATGAAATTTCTTCACTGCTTAAAATTGTGCCTGTTGCATGGTGGTGCTCATTCACTATAGAATGAATAAATAAACAGTTCCAAGCAGTAGGTACTATTATTATCGTCCTCGTTGCACAGAGTCTAAAACTGAGGCAATGAGAAGTGGAATCACGGATCCAAGGTCACATAGCTAGTAAGTGTCAGGACCAAGAAGTGATCCCAGGCAGACTGGCTGTAGAACCCACATTCTTTTATTTTTTTTAATTTATTTTTTTGTTCAAATACATTTGTCTCCTCCTTCCCACCACCACTTTCCCCTGCCCCCTTCCCCCACCTCCCTCCCTCAGTCCTTCCCCGCTTTGGCTTTGTTCATGAGTCCTGGCTATATGTTCCTTGACTTGATCTTTCCCTTCCCTTGCCGCGCCCACCCCTCCCTCCTTCCCTCTTGACTCTGTTGGTTTCTTTTTTCTTCCAGTGTTGCTGGTCATATTTTCCTTGCTTCTTTGTTTTGTTGGTTAGGTTTCACTTTATAGGTGAGATCATATGGTATTTGTCTTTCGCCCCCTGGCTTATTTCACTTAGCCTAATGCTCTCTAGTTCCATCCATGCTGTTGCGAAGTACCCACCATAAATCACCTCATGCTGGGGCAAGATGTGAGCGAGTTCCTTGGATCCCCACCTTATGGCTCTGGAAAGAAGGAATTTATTTCTTCAACACTTACTTGCTCACCACCTGATTTAGATCAAGACCTGTTTTGGACACTAGTCACAGTAGCAACCAAGGTGACTCTAGTTCCTGTCCTCATGGAGCTTTCAACGTCTGACTCCATTTCACAGTGAATCAAGGAGAGGTTTGTACAGCTACAGGAACTTACCCAAGCTATCAGGGCATGTGGCCAAGCCATTGCTGGGATCTAGGGTTGCATCCAGAGCCAGTGAGGGTTTCCAGGCAGGTACCATATAATTCATACACCATGAAATTCACCATTTAAAAGTGTACAGTTAATAAAGTAGATTTTAGTGTATTCACAAGGTTGTGCAACCATTGCCACTCTCTAATTCCAGAATATTTTTATCACTAAAAAGAAACCTCATATCCACTCATTAGCTCCCCATTGCCTTTTTCCCTCAGCCTCTGGCAACCACGAATCTTTTTGGACATTTCATAAAATGAAACCATGCAGTATGTGGCCTTTGTATCTGGCTTATTTCACTCAGCATGTTTTCAGGGTTCAACCATGTTGTAGTATGTGCTTAATTCCTTTTTATGACTAAGAAATATTCCATTGTATGGATGAACCACATTTCATTTATCCATTAATCACTTGATGGACTTTTGAATTGTTTACACTTTTTGGTTGTTGTAAATAGTGCTGCTGTGAACACCCATGTACACATTTTTGAGTAAACATGCATTTTCAATTTTCCTGAAAGTTCAGTTATCTGGGAGTGGGATTGCTGGGTCACATAGTAACTCCATGTTTACATTTTTTTTAAAAAGATTTTTTTAAATTTATTTTTAGAGGGGGAAGGGGGAAGAAAGAAAGGGAGAAAAACATCAATATGTGCGCCCCCTACTGGGGAACTGGCCCACAACTCAGGCACGTGCCCTGATAGGGAATCAAACCATTGACCCATTAGTTCACAGGACAGCACTCAATCCACTGAGCCACACCAGCCAGGTGCATGTTTAAACTTTTGAGGAAGTGCCAGATGGTGTTCCACAGTCCCGCACCATTTTACATTCAGACCTGCATCATATGAGGGTTCCAAGTTCTGTACATCCTCCCTGGCATGGTACCATTCATGTTTTAATATAGATTTTGAATGAATAATAAATTCACATGACTCAAAAATTAAAGTGATATGAAAAGGAATACACTGACATATCTCATTTTGACCCAAATCCTCATCTAATCATGCAGTCTCCTTGGTCCCCACAGGTAACCCCTTTTGTTAGTTTCTTACATGTGTTTCCTAAATTCCTTTATGCATACAGAAGCAAACACAGAGATTTTTGTGTTTACAAAAGGCCTCATGTCTACATACTGTTCCTTGTTTTTCCACTCAACTACCTATCTTAAAGGCTCAATAGTCTAGTGATGAGCGCAGGCCTTGGAGCATCATACAGTCTGGGTTCAAATCCCAGCTTGGCCATTTCTAGATGTGTGACTGGGGGAAAAGAGAAAACCTCTTTTAGCTTCAACTCTGCTTCTGTAAAATGGGGATATCCAGAACATCTGCCTCACAGAGCTGATTTGAGAGTGATATGAGTGAATATATGTGTGTCAGGCAAGGTAAAGGAGAATTAGTGAAGGGACTAAATTAATGGAGTGCACTGGCTGCTAGATTTGAGGGCTGGCAGGTGACTGAAGGGGTCACAGGTTTGATACCTAGTCAAGGCACATGCTTGGGTTGCGAGCCAGGTATCCAGCTGGGGGTGTGTGAAAGATAACCAATTGGTGTTTCTCTCTCTCTCTCCCTCCCTTCCTCTCTCTCTAAAAATAAATAAATAAATCATTAAAAATAACATTAAAACAATTAATGGAGTGTGGGCAAGGTCTGAAGATTTCTCAAGGAATGTTGAGACACTCAGAAACCCACACAAGCAAGAAGTGGTTATGACCCTTGTGCTATAGGTCAGGAAAAAGGGCCACACAGGAGGAGGTGTGGCCACACATAGGACAACTAGGGTGGACCAGAGAGGTGGCTAAGGGACAAAACACCCAAGCTCTCTTTCCTCCTACATTCTAATCTCCTGCCATGACTCCCTGACTGATGCAGGATGTAAAAGTCAGCTTCCTCAGGAGCAGAGAAGAGCAAAGAACAGATCTGGAGGGCAATGGAAAATAACCACCTTAGCATGTGAAGGCCATAGGGTGGGACCTGGTCTATAGAAGCTCAGAAAGCATCTTCCAGTCTTTTTTACCTTTCTAGGTCAGTACCAAGAGTGTCCTTGTTGTTGTTGTTGTTGTTGTTTAAGATTTTATTTATTTTTAGAGAGAGCAGAAGGAAGGGAGAAAGAGAGAGAGAGAGAGAAATATTAATGTGTGGTTGCCTCTTGTGTACCCTCTACTGGGGACCTGGCCCGCAACCCGGGCATGTGCCCTGACTGGGAATCGAACCGGTGACCCACTGATTCACCAGCTGGCACTCAATCCACTGAGCCACACCAGCCAAGGAGTGTCCTTGTTCTTTATACAGCTGCATGGAACGCCACTATACTCTGTGTACCATCATTCATCTAGCCAGTCCCCTACTTAAGTACATCTGGGTTGTTGTTAGTTATGTTCTGTAGACAGTGCTGCAGTGAATGACCTTGAGAAAATGTCATCTTTTCTTTGTGATGTGGCCCTTTCTTGTGAGACTGCCATTGTGCCAAAGGTTTTTTTGTACACCTTCATCTCATTCCACCCTCAGAGCATCACTGTTAGGCAAACTCTGTTCCAAGAGAGGAAAAAAGTACAGAGAAGGGATATTATTTGCAACTGGTCCAGGTGGAAGTGGGGTATTTTATGACTCCAGAGTCCTTGTCCTTAGGCACCCCATGTCCCAAGGACAGAAATGCCCAGTCCCTGAGACTTGACCCTCACTCCCCTGGTAACATATAGCTGAATGGAACATCCCTCTTCAGTTATAGACGCTGCCTGGAGCTGATGCTGAACCATGTTTCCCACCGTGGCCCCATGTGCCACCTCATGGTGGCATCCCACAATGAGAAATCTGTTCACCAGGCAACAAAACGGTATGAGGTGGGCCCCTCCCTTCCTCTCCCTTGTTCACATGCTAGGGATGGGTAGAGGGTGGGGGATGTGGAGCAAAGTGAGGAGCGGTGTGGGGACAGTAGGTTCAGAGGAATTCTGGGGAGGATATTAAACACATTAAACCCCTGCTACAAGTGTAAGTCTTATAGTCCCTGGCTGAATAAGGCATAACCCCTTATTTTCTAGGGTATTGGGAAGTCCTAGGGTTCCAGGGAAGGAGTTGGGATTCACTGGGGAGCTTTTAGGGACCTTAGAACAGTGGCTTTTTATCATTAAGTTTCAAAGTATTTCAATATTTAAATAACTGAAACAGCCATGTGAGTGTCAATGGCTGACTTTCAGCTCTGGATCCAGCCACTGTCTGGATCGATGATGTGGCCTTTTCTGTAGCATGTGGGAGCTGGGCATTCCTCTGGACGGGCCTGTCTGTTTTGGACAACTTCTGGGGATGTGTGACCATGTCTCCCTGGCACTGGGTATGTGAGTGTTCCTTTCCCCGCCACCACCACTGTGCCCCACACAGCCCCAGACCACATTCCTTTTCAGCCGGGTCCCTTCTCCCATTTTCAACCAGTGCCTGACTATGCTTCTATCTAAGTTTGCAGATGGCGCAGTTTCTTCCAATGTCTAAAGCCTTACAGGCCTTTGTCTCTGTGCCTGCTCTCTGCTGTTTTGCTGGTTCTTGATCATGGTGTCTTCTTTCCTGTGTGCTTTGTTATCTTTACCATGTTGCTCCCAAGGGACTGACCAAAAGATTTATGTCTTTCTCTGCCAGATGCCAAGGGGTATAAAACCATTGTACCCTAAATTCATAGCTTGAGGTTTCCTGAGACATCCCAGATATACAAATTTGAGCTGCAAATATGCAAGTGGACTAACACATGACCACAACCTCTCAAAGATGGATTTCTCTGTTTTCTTCCCTGATCTGCTTATGGTCAAGGCCATCCCCTGGGAGCAGAGGGAACTCTTACTCTGAGGGTGTTCATTTTTGGGTTCCAGCTTAATATGAGGAAGTTCTCCTTTACACATCTCACCCTGTTCAGACTTTAGGGCTCAATTTCTGTATCCTCTCAACTCTGAAAAGTCATCAAATAGCAGCTCAATTTTGTATTCAGTGCAGAAGTGCTTCCTGTGCATCTCTTCCTTTTCTGGTTCTCACCTTCTCTTAATTCTTGGATTAGGAAATTCCTTATTCTCTTGGCAGCATTTTAATAACTTTAAGATTTTTTTAAATATTTACTCCAGAATTTTTAGTTTTTCAGTGGAAAATTTTGTCTAACTAATCTGTCTGCCATGTTCTCAGAACTGGAAATCTTTGTTCCAGATGGAGCCTACAGGAGCCTTTCTCCAAACATGACCCCATACCTTGTCCATACTCTCCCTGCAGGGCAGGCGGGCTATGCTGTGTATAAGTCCATCCCCTACGGCTCCCTGGAGGAGGTGATCCCCTACCTGATCCGGAGGGCCCAGGAGAACCAGAGTGTACTGCAGGGGGCCCGCAGGGAGTGGGAGCTGCTCAGTCAAGAACTTAGAAGAAGGCTGCTGGGGCGGGGCCTGAGGGTACCTTATTAGCACCCCCAGGGGTTATGTGGTCAATAAAGGTCCTGAGCTACTGCCCAGGCTGTTACCCTGCCCTGCAGCTGCCTCTTTGGAGAAAGGCTAATCTTGACCTCAGCCAGCCCAGCTAGGGTGCTCTGCAGCTCATGAGAGACCTTTAGATAAGCCTAAAGCATAGCAAGGGCATTGAGCAAAGACTAACGAAGCCTCCCCTACCCTGAAGCAGTCTACCCTGCAATGGACCTGCGGTCAGCTCTACTTAGCCTGTCAGTGGCTGAAGCAGGAACTTTCTTCACTCCAGTGGATGCCCAGATGAAGAGCAGACCTGAGGCACTAAAGTCAAGAGGCTGGGCTAAGGCAACAGTTGCAGGGAGGGATAGAGGGAAGAGGCAAACCACTTTCTCATTTAATAACATTTTCTGAGGCCCCTTCTGAGCTAAACGCTGAAGTGAGCAATGCTGAGGACACAGTAGTGCCAGAGACAACCCCAGGCCCAGATTCACAGGGCTCTTAGTCCAGTAGGCGTAGACAGATGCATTTTTAGACAGTGACAGACCAAAGTGGTCAGGTTGTGATGGTGGAAGTCCATGCAGAGCATTAGGGTGATGTTGAGGAAAGCTGGAGGCTGTAGAAGGCCAGAGGAGACACCTGGTGATCAAGAGAGCATCCTAGAGTATTCATATAAATAACTAAGTGAGTATTGAGAAGAACATTAAAAGATAATGGCATGTGCATAAACAGAGAATTGTGAAACAGGCTGGGGAGTGGGGAGACAAGGACAAAGGATGGGCAGGGCCAGATGGTACAGCCTTAGCTGCCAGGCCACAGGGCTTGCACCTGGCCCCAAGGGCCCTGGATAGTCAAGAGGGTTTCAAGCAGGGGAGGACCAACACAGGTTTGGCTTTAAGAAGATCCTTCTGGCTCTTCTTAAAGAAGATCCTTCTGGCCATGTGATGGGTGGACAAGAGTAGGAAGACAGGTTGGGAGATCAGGGCAATCTGGAGTAGGAAGTCCCTTCAGGATAAGGTTATGGGGAAGGGAGGAGGGGTCTGGTGGAAAGGAAAAGCAGGAGGTTGAGTGGAACACAGGACTAAGCTGGATGGGAAGGAATGCTCAGGTCAAAGCCTAGGATTCTGGTCTCAGGAGGGGACAGTGAGGCCAATCCTGAGATAGGGATTCAGGAGGAAATGCAGTTTTGGGGAAATACTGAGGTCAGTGTGGGACCTGGTGGGTGTGAAGATCCCAGGGAACGTCCAGGACACTGTGGGGCTCTAGGTCTGGGGCAAAGAGGAAAGGCTGAGGCAGGGACAGAGAGAGGAAAGTGCCCATGGGGGTGGATGAGAAGCATGGGAAGAAGACAGCCAAGCACAAGGATCAGGAAGGACCAACCACCTCAAACAAGTCCTGGGACAAGGGTAAGAAGGGGGATCATGTGGGGCACAGCTAACAGTTTTGGGGCATACATCACTCTTCTCTCTGGTCACCTCAGGACCCTAAGGGGAGGGGTTCCTCTCACTGGAAGGAGCCTGCTGCACAAGTGCAAATGTGGCAGGAAGCCACTGATGTGCCTGTGCTTAGGATTCCTGCCCAAATCACCAGAGCTAGAGCCTCACATGGCATTCATGTGGTGATCACTGTCGGAGCCCTTTGGTGGGTGCCAAGCCTCCTGGACCCCAGTCTGGGCCCCAGAACCTTCTTAGAGCTTACTGGGTTCTCAGCTCTACACCAGACTTGGCTCCCAGCCCACTGACCCCACCCTTGAGCTGCCCGCTTCCTCCCTGCCCCTCCTACAACCCCAGGCCTCAACTGTTTAGCAGAGCCTGGCTCCACTCTGCAGACAGCCCACAGCCCACAGATAGTCCTCAGTCTCCTTTCTGCTCTTGGTCCCTTCCTCTAGCCTGTAGACCCCACCCCAGCACACAGATACTTCCCTAAACCTCAGCCCACACCTCAACCCTCAGACCTTCTTCATAGCCTGCAGACCTTGACCCCTCTCTCCTCCCTCAGACTCCAGCTACTGCAGCAGGGTGCTTTCTTCTGCTCACAGACCCTGCCCTTGGACTGTCCTCTTTACTCTCACAGCCCATAGACTCTATCCCCTCTTAGGCCCTTCTTCCTCCAGTCCATAGGTAATCTTTAGACCCTCTTGCCATGCCCCCAGGCTCCTTTCCCAGGCCCATATCCTATCCCTGTAGCCTTTACACCCTCTCCTCCAGTCAGTGCCCAGCTCTCAGATTTCCTTAGATCCCTTTCAGCTCTCAGAATCATTTAGACACTGTCTGCCCCTCTCCCCCACTTTACATTCTTACGATATAGCTTTCCCAGAACCTAACCCTTTTCTCATTCAAACACCTCCCTCCAAATCAGGCCTCCAATCCTTTTTCTTTTCATACTGCCCCCTGAGGACTCCCAGCTACCTCTGCCTTTATTGCAACTTGAGGTCCTGTTCCTTTCTTCCTACTTCCCTCTGATCCCTGCCTTGGAGCTGACTGAGTCTGGAGCCCACAGACACCCTTCCTGAACTCTTGCTTTCCTGTGGATCTGGACCCCATTCAGGATCCAGAAACCCAGGTGGGCTGTCCGCAGCCCCTGGTTATCACTGGGGGCCCAGACTGAGGCCTCATCCTGCTCCAGAGGAGAGATGAGGGATCGTTTACTAAAACTGCCTGTAGAGGCAAGGTCAAGGGGCAGCATGGAAGGTTAGGCTTCAGTTGGCGAGTCAAAAATTTTGTACCAAACATCTATTATGTACCCAGCTCTGTTGTCTGTGATGGAGATTTAGGGGTGAACATGACATTCTGGGTCACTGTGAATGAAATCTATTATGGGAATTTAAGAGAGTGATGATACACTGAAAAGATGGCCTTTCTGGTGGGGTGATACTTGAGTCTCACAGTATAAGAGCCAATCACACAAAAAGCTGAGGGAGCCCTGGCTGGTGTGGCTCAGAACATTGAGCGCTGGCCTGCAGACAGAAAGGTCATTGGTTTGATTCATGGACAGGGCACATGCCAGAGTTGCAGATCAGATCCCCAATTGGGCGTGTGCAAAAGGCAACCAATTTATGTTTCTCTCACACATGTTTCTCTCCCTCCTTTCCCCTCTCTCTAAACAAATAAATATTTTAGACTTGTAGTCAAGATGGTGGTGTAGGCAGAAAAGGCTTGCCACCTCACACAACCACATCAAAATTACAACTAAAATATGGAACAACCATCATTCAAAACCATCAGAAATCGAGTTGAATGAAAGTCTGACAACTACAGAATTAAAGAAACCACATCCATCCAGACTGGTAGGAGGAGTGAAGACACAGAATGGGCTGGTCCCACATCCATGTGTGGTGGATAAAAATTTGGGAGAGATATCTTGGGAGTGAGGAGTCCCAGCCCCATGCAAAGCCCCTAGTACCAGGAAGATAAGTCCCCATTAACCCCTGGCTGTGAAAATGAGCAGGGATTGAGTCAGTGGGAGAAACTTCTGGAGCCCCAAGCAGTTCCTCTTAAAGAACCTACACACAAACTTACTCAAGCACACTCCCTCTGAGCTCCAGCACCAGGGTAGCAGTTTGAAAGGCATCAGTGGCACACAGGGAGGAACTGAAGTGTCTGATATCAAGGCGAGAACTAGGGGACAGCCTTCTCCCAGACAGAAGGTGGACAGAAGCCATTGTGCATTTTCTGAACCCTCCCCTGACAGAACAACAGAGTCAGCAGACTGGTGCCATATCTGAGATTTCATCAACCTGGCTAATGCTGTTTGCATTAGCATTAGGGCACTAATCCCTGGGGATGCCTTAAGGCTCTGTCTCACCCAACTTACAGGCGTTAACAGTGGCTTTTCCATATGAATCGCTGGTCTTGGCTCATGCTTCACAACTTCCTAAATCCTTTCAAACAAGCAGCAGCGGCCTCAGTGAGTCCCCAGCGCCCAACCTCTTGCTAAGTGGCTGCAAGAATGGCACTAGTAGTAGCCAGCCTAGATTTATAGCTTGGCTTTGCCTGGCAATCTCCAAATCCAGCACAAGTAGCAGCCATTTCAGATTGCTTTATAGATCAGTCAGGGTGGTCCCGGGCAAAACATAGGTGGGGGCTGACCTCGGCCTGCACCACCCAGGAAACCCCATGGCCTGTGAACCCAGTGGACAGACCACATTGGAGCTCTACCACCCTGTCCCTGCACAGCTGATCCACCACGGAGGGCAGAGGTTGGTGGTCAGTGGCCACAACCAGTCCTTGCAGCTGACTAGCCTGGGTAAATCCCTACCATTGACCTTCCAACAGCAACCAAGTCTCAACTACAAGAGGAGGGTATACTCAGCCCACACAAAAGATGCACCTTTAGTACCCAGCTTGGGTTATAGGGGAGGCTGTGCCACTGGACCCTACTGGACATCTACCACATTAGGCCACAACACCAAGACAGGGAGTCATAGCAGCTCTACCTAATACATAGGAAAAAACACAGGAAAGCTGCCAAAATGAGGAGACAAAGAAACATGGTCCAAATGAAAGAACAGATCAAAACTCCAAAAAGAACTAAATGAAATGAGGATAAGCAATCTATCAGATGCAGAGTTCAAAACACTGGTTATAAGGATGCTCAAGGAATTTAGTGAGGACCTCAGCAGCATAAAGAAGTTCCAGTCAGAAGTGAAGGATACACTAATTGAAATAAAGAACAATTTACAGGGAAACAAGAGTAGAGCAGGTGACTCTGAGAATCAAATCAATGATTTAGAATATAAGGAAGAAAAAAAAAACAACAGAACAATAAGGAGAAAAAAGTATCCGAAAAAAAATGAGGATAGTATAAGCAGCCTCTGGGACAACTTCAAGAGGTCCAACATTCACATTGGGGTGCCAGAAAGAAAAAGAAATTGGAAATCTATTTGAAAAAATAATGAAAGGAAACTCCCCTAATTTGGTGAAGGAAATAGACATGCAAGTCCATAAAACATGGGGAGTCCCAAACAAGAAAGATGCAAAGAGGCCCACTCCAAGACACATCATAATTAAAATGCCAAAGGTGAAAGATAAATAGAGAATCTTAAAAGCAGCAAGAGGGAAG